GCGCAGAGGCAGTAAACTCAACTCAGCCGCCAGGCTTTCTGATGGACAGTTTTTCTGGAGAAATACTGAAACCACTAAATCAACTAAGTTTAGACCATTAGTGATTTTTTAAAATTCTATAGCTGTTACTATCGATTAAAAATTTGGCTACGTTGCAGTGAATCTCTTGATTCTGTCTAATTCTATAAAAAGAACCATGAACTCTTTGGGGCCACCTAATGCCATTCAGTAAATGACTCTCAGGGCTCTGTGCCTAGAATTGTATCCATGTTGCATTTGCAGCATTTAATTTTGGTCCCAAATGCTTAGCTCTCATCTTGGGGGAGACGTACTTACCTGCATCTAACTAAATACATACAGGTTCTGGCAAAAGTAGGTTCACTGTTGCTCATATGGAAAGCAAAACAACAATTAGTAAATAATAATCCAAGAATAAACTCTGTTTCACGTACTCACAGCTGTAAATCTACTTTTGCCCCACCCTGTATTATAACAGTTCTGGGGCGAGTGTTACAACAAAAAGTGTAAAGGAGTTTGCTTTGAATCTAACTACTTAACAATAGGGGTGCTCTTTTAGAAATCTTCAAAAGGAAGACTTGTGGGTGGTTGTCAACACCAGACCTTTGTTTGAAATAGGCAGGTAGAGTCACACCTGTGTTTGGGTGGATTACAGGAGGGGTGGCGAGTCGTGGTAATTCTAGATCAGCTTAAGAGAGAGGAGAGCCCTCGTTCAGCCAGCCTGCTCACGTCCACGGTCAGACTTGTTTCTCCTCCCTCTGACTTCTGCTAAGCAGGAGCAGAGCTGCTTCCGCCCTTGAGTGGACAGTGAGTTGGTGTTACCCTCTGAGAACCAGAATTTAAATTGTACCTCAGTGTGATGCATGACGCAGTCGTGCCCGGATCTGCATGTGAAGTAGAAACTGACAAGAGCTAGTTAACAAACTTTTCCTGTGACCTTTGGATTTGTTCTTTCCTTCTGTGCCACAGGTCTGATCATATTAGTTATAATAGGAAAGAAATAAGGTTCAGAACTCGAAAAGATTACAAGAATACTGTGTGTGCATGTTTGCTTTTTATCTAATTTAGGACCGTGAAAACAGATACTTTTCAATCTAGCAATAATGTGCATCTGTGCATGTGCATTTTAAAATGTGCTTTTAAAGGGAGACTTTTCAGAAAGTGGAAAATGGCAACATATCACACATTTAGAAGCCTGGGCCCTAGCCAGCCCAGAGAAACGTGGGAAGGATGCCCACTCTTGTTGATTCCCATTTCCTCCCTACACTGTCAAGAAACTTTGGTTTGGGATATCGGAATGCCAGATGGGTATACCCCCCACACCCCAGATTAGAAGTTGAAGGGAGATGGGAAAGAAATATTAGGATACCTGCACCCAAAGCCAACCACACTGTTTTGTTCATGACTCTGTGCTGTTACTTCAACTATCTTAGCAGGTATGATAAATTGGCTCAATAAACACCAATTACACACTCCTTCCTCTCTTCCTTTACTCTAGAAGTGAGAAAACAAAAATACTGAATTTCCCAGCCTCTTTCACAGCCAGGGTTGTGCGTGATCTATAATTCTCGCCAAAGAGATGTGAGTGAAACCTCTGGGAGGCTTCTCTTCCCTTATTTACCTTCCTCTTCCTCTTTGAGACTGTGGGCATGATAAATGGAAGTGCAGTAGCTATCTTGAGACTGAGGATAAAAGCCAAATGCTAAGGGCGGCTGAGAAGGCATACAGAAAAGGGCCTATTTATTTGATGATATCCTTGGCACCTCCATCAGCTCTGGGTTTCTAACATCCAGGCTTCTTATTACGTGAGAAAAATAAACCACTTTCTCGTTTAAGCGACTATTTGTAGCTTTAAATGTTATTGTACTGTTACTGCTGTTGAACACAGTCTTGAGTGATATTCATTTCCTTTTTACGTGGTAGAGCAGACTGACCTGTTTGTCAATTTGTAGGAGGCATGTAATAAATGTAGTATCCCACTTTCTCTGTATTATTGCATCTATTTTAGACTTGTCTCTGTCCCATCCTGTTCTAAATAAAAGCAAAAGTTGGAATGCAGCTTAGCATTAATGGTGTCACTCTAACATCATTTCAGTAAGTGTGTGTGTCACGTGCTTTGCTGGGTGCTCTGAATATAATGGTGAGTGGGATGAGAGCCTTGCTTTTAGGGGTCTTGTGGGCAAGTCGGGGAGACCACACATACATGCACACTGTGGGTGAGTGCTTTGGTAAAAGTCCATGGTGCTGTGAGAATGCAGGGAAAGGGTATGAGCCAGTTAGCTTTTACTGTATAACAAACTACTCCAAACTCAGTGGTTTAGAACAACCACCATTTCCTTACCTCATGATTCTGCAGGTCACCACCTTGGGCTGCTGGCAGCTGGGCATTTCCGGTCTCGGCAGGGCTCACTCGTGCTGAGTTGGCGAGGTGTGGGTGGTCTAGGCTGGCCTCACCCATCCAGGGCGGTTTGTAGTCTCTCCTTTAGCATGAGCTAGTTCTGAGACCAAGATCTCTACTCCTTCTGAACTCCAGTAACACAACTTTTAAGTTAGCATTTGTGCCCTTTGATATAATTATTTTTCCTTTATATCCGATGGAAAGCTCCATGAGGATCTAACTCCCCAAGATGAATATTATTGGGATAATAAGGGTTTGATTTTGTTGAATGAATAAGTAAAGGCTTAAATGAATTACACTTTGTCTATGTACAGATCTTTAGCATATTTGTGTTTATTCCCTTAGTTATGTGGTGATGCCTGCTGCACTGAGGGCAACAGGCCACTGAGGTGGAAATATGGAACATAAATAAAAACCAAAATTTTAAGTTGAGAAAGTATATGCTAAGTTTGCAGGCAATGCAGGAGCAGGTATTTGTGTGACATCCCAGGAGAAAGTTTGGCAGAATGTAATAATTTTACCTGCGTTTGGCATTACACAGCAGAGGGGAGCTCGCCAATTTATATAATGGGGGAACTCTTGCCTTTGTTCATCATTCTTGTTAGAAAGCTTAATATTTGTTTCTGATCATTTCGAATTAATTTGTACCCAGAATGGAATCGCCCAAATTAGTTCTTTTTCTTTGAAATGATTTTATTTTGATGTTGATCTTCCTCTGCAAAATCACTTAACAAGTCTCACAGCTTTCTGGCCTATCAAATTGGATGCCTACAGCAACTATGGCAGAGATAAGAGCTCGAGTATCACCCACATTTTACAGGTTAGGAACACTGGAAAGGAAATGGGGGAGGTTGGAGGACCTAGTAAGGTCACAAAACAGAACCACAAAGCACATCTTTCAACCTAGCGCTGGCTCTGTCTGGACATTACAATTTCAATGCTTAAAATAATTGGAAGTGTTAATCAAGATGTAATTGCTTTGCCAGCATGTTAATAGATAGTTCAGTAACATAACACTCACTTGACAGTTCATCATATTCATGTGGGGAGTTTCTCACCAGGGTCAGTAGCGACTAGTAAGTGCCTTTTTACTGCCCTCTTTGTTAGAAGGGTTCAAAGCAAAGCTTAAACCAAACATGGCAAAAGAGCCTTCTTGGCTGGTGTGTGTTTTAAAGGAAAGCAAAATCTTGTAAGTGGAACTGATAGGAAGGTGTGACACAGCCTAGAGTTAAAATACCTGAGAAGACAAATGGCTTTTTGATCTCTTGAGACCTACAGATGAATTAAAACCCCTCCGTATATAGACCAGTGCAGCTGATCACTCAAATTGGGATTTTAAAAAAATGCAGAAGCAGGACACTTAGAATATTGTCTTCATGTCAGAAATGCACCTTCGTGCTTGAAAATGATAAAAAATTACAATCGATCCTTACAACTGTTCTGTTCATCTTTATTGATCAGGTGCAAGAAAGATAAATCGCAGCCCAAATAAGATTATAGTAAATGTTAGCATCGGAGGGAACTGGAGGTTGATAGAGAGCCATTCATCATCTCAAATGGTGACCTGTCCATTCTGCAGCCACCCCGAGTCGGCTGTCTAATCACATACCTATTGATTTTATCTACATCCAACCAACCTGGATGTGACTGTCATTGGACAACCCAGATTGTTAAATGCAAAGGGGTCACTGGTGTGAAGAGGATTTCATTTTCATTTTCTCACCAACCAACAATGATTTATGAAAAAATAAACTACCCCCAGTCATGCATGTGAAGCCTGAGTGATTAGAGAATGAAGGTGCACAATAGACCGCTGCATTGTGTTCGTTTGTACTGCCGTGCCTTTTGCAGGATATTTCATTGAGTCTGAAGGCTCCTGGGGTCATCGAGGCCACCCCCTGCAGGCAGGCTGCAAAGTAGCCAGCCAGAGTGGATAATTTTTAATCTTGCTTCCCCAGGAAAGGCGTTACTTTGCTATTACAACTTGATTTATGTTGCTTATGTGTTCATTCATGGAATAATGGAAACATGTTTTGGTATAAAAATTATGTCAATCCATCCCTTCATTCTTACTGATTAATTTGTTATAAATGTTGATGCTGGTGTGGTCACCTGGAGGTGATTGAACACATTCTACTCCATAGAGAATCCATCTTGAAGACACAAATACAGTGTAAAAGGAAATGATCTTTAATATCCCAGGTGGAACACTGGAATAATAGGCCAGCGTGATAGGCGTGAATTTCATTATTCAGTCTCAAGCATCTTTTGATCTTACAGTGATCGATTCCAAATAAGGGAGAACTAAATAATCCTTCAAACCTATGTTAGGAGTCTTATCAGAGGGATCAAATAATGATGAATTATAACTATGAGAGTTTACTCTGTAATTTCAGCCTAGATACCCACAACTGGATACTGGTACATGGAATTTTATAAGAATCCATTCCACTTGTGTAAGAAGTCTTTCTCCTACTGCTTGAGTGGCTGAAGCAAGAGCTCATGTGTTTTTTGTCATTGTACATCTTGCACACGTTTTGTCCTCTTGAAAAGTGAAAACTCTGCTATCAATCTTTATCCACAGAGCTCAGAGTTCTACAAAGTCACCACTGAACAATATCAGAAAGCTGCTGAGGAGGTGGAAGCAAAGTTCAAGTAAGTTTTTTAAAGTATTATAATTACTCTTCTTGACAAGATGAAAGGACAACTTCATTGCTTTTTTAATAGGAGATCGTTTGGTGTGTAGCCCTCTGGATAACTTGGAAGTGGGTGGGTTGAGATGGACCCCTGTTATCTGCTGTAGTGGAATCCAAATGCAAGGACAAGACATTTGATAAAAGCTTGTTACCAACTCGATTTTATGAACTAAGGGGAAATAGAAAGCCATAGTAATAGAATTTTCATTTGCGGTGATATACGATAGGCTACCCTTGTTAATGAAGGCAATATTAAATTGCCATTTCTATTAATAAAAACATAGAAACCATTCACTTTTGCATAATAAAATGACGGGCATGTCCAAATTGGTGTATCCCCTTTTCTCATGTTTAAGCTGTTTCATTTCTTCACATGTACCTTGAAAGCATTTAAATCACAGACTTTACCTTACCCTTGATTATGAAGGGGATGTTAAATTGCTACCTCTATTAAGGTTCTATCATTGATGGATCAAAGTGTCCGTGGCCCATAGCTCTGTATTTTTCCTTTGCTGCCAGGTTTCACATTAAGTAAGAAGGCATCATTCAGAATTTTCCCGAGTGTATAACTAGTGCTATTGTGTAACCTCTGTTGGTAGCAAAGCAAAAAAAAAATAAAAAGGTGTTGTGACAGGTTTAGTTGAAAGATGGCATTGGGCTCTGACCTCCTTCCTTGCGCATGTTTCTGAGCATTTGATAAAATGATTAAACCACAAAGTGGAACGTTATTGCTTTTTGCTATCATGTAATTTGTGTGATAATGGATATTAGTGTTATTTTAATATTGATTAAAAATGTTTTTTAAAGATGGTTTGAGATATTTAAATACACAGAAACCTCCATTCTTCATTAGTGAATTATTTAGGGGCTGGAGGAAGAGACCTTCTAAGAATGGCGCATAAATCTCACTCTTAAAGGGTTAATGTGCTATCTTAAGAATTTAGACATAGAATTGCATGTAGATTTCAGAAGGTACACCATACAGGTATTTTTATGATTTTCTCTTCCCCCTAATGATAAAGCAACAGTTTTTAACCTTTTTGTCTCAATACTATGAGAACCTTTGACTTGGTACCCTGGCTGTTTCTTCAATACAAGATAATAGTTATATAAAAAACAAAAACTTGAGGTAAATCAAAGGAAATCACTTCTGACTAGGATGATCTAGGAAGTCATCATAAAGAAGATGTTTTAGATGAGGCTTGAAGTAGAGCTTTGGTGGAAAGGAAAGGTATTCAGAAGAAAAATCCACAGTTGATGCGGATCTTAGATAAGATCCTCACAAGATAAAGTTGGAAAGATTGATAGGGTCATTCATTAGTTGTTGGGCTAAGAAGTGGGTCTTCATTTAGCAAGAAGTCTTTAACCAGGTGAGTACCTTGATATCTGTGCTTTTTTAGGAATATTAGTGAATGTGAGCTTTGATTAGAGGCATGAGAAACAAGAGCCGGAAGTACTAGATGAGAGGTCTCTATAAGTGAAAGAGAAGAAAAGAGACTGATGCAAAAAAAACTCATTGAAAGATTAGACATGAATCAGTGATTGATTGGTGAGTTTGCTAGGGCTGCCATAGCCAAGGACTGCAGGCTGAGCGGCTAAAACAATGGAGTTTACTTCCTCACAGTTCTGGGGGTAGAATTTCAAGGTCAAGGTGCCAGCAGGTTGGTTTGTTCTGAGGCTTCGCTCCTTGGCAGGTAGGGGGCTGTTTCCTCCCTGTCTTCACATGGTCTTCCCTCTCTGCATCCGTCTCCTAATCGCCCTCTCTTTTTATAAATCCCATTTGATTAGGGTTCATTCTATTGACTTCATTTTAACTTAATGACCTTCATCCAAATATGCTTTCTAGCATACCATGCATCAGGACTTCAATATATGAATTGAGAGGGAGGGGACACAGTTCAGCCCATTCACCTGGAGAGAAGGGGCAAAGGAGAGTCTAGCACAGCCGTGGGCAAACTACGGCCCGCCCATTTGAAATGAATAAAACTAAAAAAAAAAAAAGACCGTACCCTTTTATGTAATGATGTTTACTTTGAATTTATATTAGTTCACACAAACACTCCATCCATGCTTTTGTTCTGGCCCTCCAGTCCAGTTTAAGAACCCATTGTGGCCCTCGGGTCAAAAAGTTTGCCCACCCCTGGTCTAGCAGATGTGAAGATTGGTGGAAGCTGGATTTTCTAGAGAGAGGTAAAACTGGTTTTAGGGGAGAAGATTCTCTTCTCCCATGTCATTTAGCCTGGGCTCCTACTGGAGAATGAAAAGCTTCACAGCGCACAAAAATAATGTCATGAGGACTTACCTTCTCCAAGACAACATAGCCTGTAGGTTAGACTTAGTTTTAAGCAGAGCCTCAACAGCATTCTCTCTCTTATCTTTATAACAGATTATTCTTTATTATATCCTACTCTCTTCTGGAATAGTGAAGAATTTAGCCTTTTCCAAAGAAGGTCTTAGTACCCAGCTCCTGGGAGGTAACCTATAAAACCTTGGAATTTCCCAAGTGATAGAAGTGTCTTCTTAGTCCTGATGGGCCCCTCAGGCCATGTGCTGTCAGCCTGGCCCTCTGGGGAATTGCTGCTGGAGCCTGAATTCAATCATATGGGCCGTCAATTTAGTAAGCCTATGTCAGAGGCCCAAATGAAAGACCCTGAAGGGTAGTTGAACTTCTCTTGCTGATGCTATGTTGCATATTGTCAGGCCTCCATACCAGGAAGATAGCGACTCTTTGGGACAATGGAAACTGCTTTTGGAACCCTCCCAGACTCTGTCCTCTGTGTCTCTTCCCTTGGTTGTTTCTCTGTATCATTTTCCATAAGTCATAACTGTGCATTCAATGGCTTTCTGTGAGATCTGTGAATCCTCTTAGCCAGTAGTCGAAGGTTAGGGTGGTTTGAGGAACCCCTTGAATTTGCAGATGATGTAAGAAGTGCAAACAGCCCTGGCTGGTTTGGCTCAGTGGATAGAGTGTCGGCCTGCAGACTGAAGGGTCCAAGGTTCGATTCTGGTCAAGGGCACATGCCCGGGTTGCGGGCTCAATCCCTTCTCTCTCATCATTGATGTTTCTGTCTCTCTTTCCCTCTCCCTTCTCTTGAATCAATTAAAAAAAATACTTTTTAAAAAAGTGAGAACAGTTGGGGACCGTACCTCAGACTTTGTAGTTGGCTAACCCTAATACAAACAAAAACCCAGGTTTTATATACTGTGAAGGACTTTTAAGAGCTAGTTTTGCAGAGTAGCTTTCATTATATAATTGTTTTTCCAGCTTCTGCCTGCTAGACTGAGCTTCCTAGAATATTGTATTTTGATTTGCAGTGATTTCACTAGCTTCACATCTAGGAAGTGGTGGTGCTTGGGCTGTAAAGATGTATCTATGCTCTTCGAAGGCACAGAGTTTGCTCAGGGAACTATGTTTCTTCTCAGAAAGTTGGCCATCTCAGATAATCATCTCAGATCACCACGACAAGGTCAGTCTCTCACAGGGCAGTGTACTGGAGTCTGTCCACTGCATGACTGCAGCAGTTCCTCTGAGGGGCGAGCTTGGAATGACTTTGAGGAGAATTTAGTTCAGCTTTTTCTGATGGAGGGGTTCATTTGGGTGCATCTTGGTTACAGGAGTTGGAAGCTTTTTAAATTGCAACTATAAGGGTGATGTTATACACCTGATAGGGGGTCACACAAAATCTCTGTAAAGAGCAAGAAAGCTGAGAGCATTTGAGGCCGTGCATGGTGAACCCCAGTCACATTGATGCATCCTGCCATGAGAGCTAATGGGGTTATTTTAGGGATGCTTAAATATTAACTCACACTCAGGCCCTCCGTTTATAGTTTTGGCAGTAAACCATTGAAACACTGTAGATTTAAGGGGATTTTTTTTCCTACTTTATCAGTACCTCATTCCTTCTTAGAGCTCCTGTGTGGCTCGTTCTCTGCCGAGTACTGAATGCACAGCTGTGAGGAGTCAGGAGGCCTTGCTAGCAGGGAACAGAGAGTTCACCAGCGGGAACAAGAGGAAGGTGGAGTTTAAACAGAGCTTTTTACAGAAACAAAGTTAGGTCTGCTGTGATGGGCTAATTACATCCCTAATATTTACCTTTTTTTTCCCAGGGGGAATTAAACAATTTGGAGATAAAGAATCTGTACTGTTTATTTGCCTACAAGAACTTTTGCTCATACTAGCTTTAAAATTTTAGCTTATAAGACTCAAATTACTGAGCAAATCCAGCATATTTTACATCTAATTTTAATTCAACAGTTAACCTTTTCTTTTCCCAATCCAACCAGAACAGTCTTATTAGCACTTTATATCACCTTTACCACCCTTTGTTATTATCTGTTAATTAGAGCAACTTATGGTGCTAGTTACTCGTTATGGTGATGGTATCAGGTTATAGCTCAGCCTACTGAAAATTATGTTCTGTATTAATCCTTATTTTCTACCTTATAGGTGATTAATCAATAAAATGTCATAATGATGTTACATTGATAGTGTTTAGCACAGGTCTTGCACAGGTAAATGCCCAATAAATATTAGATTATTTTTATTATATTACATATTATAGGATAATATTTAGTTATAATATTATTTCATTATATCCAACTCAACTTATGAAACTATACACCATAGGAGAAATTTCTGTATTTGTTTCCAAACAAAATCTAGAAGGTGTTGACTGGCCCCCTTTCCCCCTGAAACAACAATGACACAACATTAGAAAGAGTGCTCATCCTTAGAGAGCTCACAGTCCAGGGGTGACAGCACCTGCAGCACTCGTGACAGGATGGCACTGTGGGGCATGTGTCACAGCAGGATGGACAGTGCCCGGGCCTGCTTCCTGGGCAGCCTCAGAACCCCCTCTCCGTTTGGAGTAGAGCCCGCACCACGCCTGCAACAGGCAGTGTTGTCACCAGTGTTACATGCATGCAATTTTTAAAATTTTTTATTGAAGAGTTATATTC